CAAGAGGGCACGGTCTCAAGCTGCACCAGGAGAGGTTTAGGTTGGACATTAGGAAGAAGTTCTTCACAGAAAGAGTGATTGGACATGGGAATGGGCTGCCCAGGAAGGTGGTGGAATCACCATCCCTGGAGACGTTTAAGGAAAGACTGGATATGGCACTCAGTGTCATGGTCTAGTTGACAAGGTGGTGTTAGGTCATAGATTATCTCAGAGGTCTTTTCCAACCCAGTTGATTCTGTGATTCTCTAATTCTGTAAAATGCAAAGCTGCAGCAGCTTCCGAACATTCAATCGGTCGATAGAGTTTTTCGGGATAACTGCACTGTGTGTCAAAAAGAATCACACTGGACCGGTTCTTTGTTTTTCTTTTGTAGTCATCTTTGCAGTAAAGCCAAGGCAGATGTTTCATAGAGCAGGAGCTTGTATGCGCCTTGAGCACTTGCTGAGTGAAGGTGGAAGGTGGATTCATAAATGAATCCATACATGAGTGGGCAGTTGTGTTTCTCAGGATGGTTAAATCCATCAGTATTTGGATCTTCTGTCTGTATTTAACTGAGAGGTGAATGACCAGAAATATTCTCCCTTAATTATGCTGTTACACAGGATTTGCCATCATATAAATATGTAATTGGAAATAAATAGTGACCCACAGAGTTGGTGGTATCAGATGTGTGGCAGCGTTGGACCAGACAGACTTACAGGCCCAAGTTTTTATTACAGACAAATCCACAAAGGTAGGATGTCAGTGTGGAACCTCTGTTCTGGGAGATATTCAAAAGCCTCCTAGACATGGTCCTGGGCAGTTGGCCCTTGGTGGCCCTGCCTGAGCAGAGGGTTGGACCAGGTGAGCTCCAGAGGTCCCTTTCAACCCCAACTGGTCTGTGATTCAGTAACAACCTTTGAAAAGCAAAGCATTAGGCAAACACTCAACTCTTGATAAGCTATAGGTCATAAATAGCTTATTGAATCATCTGAGTATGTGAGACAGGGGAATTCATGTCACTTTTTTATTTTCTTTGGAATCTGTGGTAAGTTGTGCCATACGCAGTGTCTGTCTTGGATCCAGAGTGACAGGACACTGCCTGCTCATGGGACAGCAGGGCTGGTGCCACCTTCACTCAGGTGCCACCTTCGCAGGGAAGTGACTTGTGGCTGTTCATGGCATTTAATTGAATGTGATGAAGGTACCTCATAGTATTTTGTGACGTTTAAATAGCTCTTCGTCATACCTGCCAGGGATTCTGTGTGTGGCTTTACTGAAATACACACTTAGGTGGTTTAATGCAGATCCAGTGGAGCAGGGCCTTGGGGGGCTGTAACTCTGCAGACATGGTCAGGCACAAAGAACATTCTTTTTTCTTTTTCTTCCCTCTGATTTTTATTCCTTGTAAGGTGTTAACAAGAGATTTTATTTACTAACGAACCAACTGTCTTGTAAATGTCATCAGAGACTGCGAGTCTCCACTCCTGGCGCCTGCCTGGGGCTGGAGGCCATCTGCCCACCCAGCATGGAGAGGTTGGCCAAGTCCCTGAGCCCATCCCTGCATCTGCCACATGCTAATGATGCTGTTAATGAGTTTCCAAACAGGAAGTCTCAAACGTATGACTTTGTATGAGTCTCCTAGATTTTCTGCCTGTATGACTGAACTACCTTCAGCACAGTGGGAAGAGGAAACAAAACAACTTCTGAATGTTTTTGTGGTTAGTTTTAGCTGCCACTCAGGTGTACAGTCACCAGGAAGGTGACTAACATGGGTGCCTTGGGTGCTGTTAACTGCTGGGGCTGTGTGCGGCCATCACTCTCAGCTCCCCTGTCTCGCTTTGCCTGGTATGTTTTTATTCTAAGTAATATGACACTTTTCAGTCACACTTGTGAAGCTCCAGACAAGGGAGGAGGAAGCAGGAGTCCCCTTGCAGCAAGCTTGCTCTGAAAGCTGCTGTTTGCTTATGCAGCTGCCCTGCCTGTTTGAAAACAACAGTCTGTATTCTTGGTGAATGATTTTGTGGTATGTGTTTTTACTGGAAAAGTTTTAAAAGGGTGAAACACCTTTAGAGGAACTTCTATGTTTAATCTTCAGCAGCACCAAAAGGCAGAATCCTGAAGGGGTTTTGGGCTGTGTGCTGCAGAATAGAGACATTAGGAAACCTGTACAGGAGAGAAAGCCTGAGAGCACTGACAGCGCTGGGAATTTGGTGAGATCTCGAGAGAGAAAAAGCATAAGGTCTTCACATGATTTCATTTGGTTCATGGCATAGTGCCAGAGCAGTTCTCAGAACACCTCCTGTTGGGAGGGCACACAGCTCCCCTTGATCAGGACTGTCAATGTACTGGGAAATTGTATTGCAAGGGAGATAGACTATTGAATTGTAATCCCTATTCTTATACAAGCATTGACCATTATAGTATTTAATTTACCAGCATTTTTTCAGGACAGATTGCCAGGCATCTCAAATTCAGTAATACGTCACCAGCATTTCCCAGGGACACAGTTTGTGCTGAGTCTTCCCTTTACAAAGCCTTGTCAATATGGACAAAGTACTTAAATTATCTCTGTTTTGTTCCAGAACTGCACTTTGCACAGCCATTTCCTTTTGCATTGGAAAGAACTCCTTTTGCTATCCCAGATTAATATCCACACAGCTGGTAATTATAAAGCAATTATCCCAACATGGTTTATTCTACTGCTGCTGTTCTAGGTCATTTTCTGCCACAGGTGTAGGGAGGTAACCTGAGCAGATTTGCTGAAGTCAATTGACTTTAAAAGGGGGGGTAAGAGAAAGTTTCTAAATTTTTCACTCACAAAACTTGTGTCTGAGAGGAAGAGTGTACTATTGGTGTAATTTATAGTAATTATCCACACATGTAGACTAATTAGACCCAACCTGGTGTACATTGAGCCAATAGAAACTCTTTACTGCAACGTAATATTGAAGGCCCATTAGTTCCATGACACTTATGTGTGCAGATCTCAGCTTGGAACATGTGGGCTGCAGAAGAGCTGGTGATCAGCAGTTGGTTGATCCTGGGACACAGGGTCAGTCCCACATTCACCCTTACTGCTGCCCAGAACAAAAGGATTATGAAAAAAAAGGACAAAATGTTATATCAAATTAATTTGTTAATGTTTTGCATAAAATTTGTGGATCTTTCTTTTTTTCATCTGCCACTAATACTGAAATGTCCTTGCTCTGTAGTACGTAGAGATTGCCACGAATGGATTGACAGGGTTTTTTTGAGAAGCCCTTGGTTCCTAGGCAGTTAACAGTAGTAAGATTGTCTTGTGTGCTGGACAGACACCTTGTGCTGTGCTGCTGCTGGGGTGGCGGCAGGTTGGCAGAGCAGCTCTGCGGGTGAGGCGCAGAGCAGCTGTGCCGCGGGTGCTGGGTGATGCTACCAGGCCAGGCATGCCCTGCACAGCCAGGTTCTTTCTGTCCTTCTAGGCCATAGGGAGAAATCAGATCAGTGACAGCCCTGGGAAAATCTGAATGAAATTATAAATTCCAAGAGGAGGTATCTTAACAAATGTGTATGACTTAAAAATGTACATTCCTACATTTTGGAGACAGCACGTTCTCTCTGCAGTACTGATGTCATGCATATTGTTGGTCCCACTGATTGATATGAATTCTTAGCACCAGTTTTCCATTGATCTATGCAGAGATCCAGGTTTTTTAGAACTAAACCCTCTTAAGAGAGCAGTTGATATTTCAGGAGCCACAACTGACTGAGAACTGATATTCTGTGGTTTCTAGCAGCTGAACTCCTCTGGAAAATGCTTTTCCAGGTGTCTGACTGGTTTTCCTGTTGATGGGATAGCAAACAGAGAACCTCGGGGTTAGGAAAGGATCCTGGCTGAGCCCCAGTGCCGGGGCTGCCTGTGAGAGGTTGCTGCCTGTGAGAGGTTGATTTTTTTTTTTTTTTTTGGTGCATTAAAATGGAATATTGAATCGAGAGAGAGGGTACAGTTAACTGTAATAGCACTTTTTGTTTTGTAAAGCGCATATTCACGGACATGGTTCTGCGTCTGGGCTGCGGGTCAGCTGGCAGCTGTTCCAGTGCAACAGCCCGGGGAGCTGCCGGGCCGGTCTCTGCCGGGCCGGGGGCCGCGGGAGCCGAAAGTGTGGAACGCGTTCGGTGTCAAACCCATTAAGGGCGATCCCTGCGGGGCGCTTGCGGGGCGGCTCCCCGGCCCTGAGAGGCCTCCGTGCCGCGAGGGGGCGGGCGGGGCCGGGCCGGGCCGCAGCCGTGCCCGGGCAGTGCGCGGCCGGCGGGAGCCATGCACGGCGACAAGGTACGGCGGGGCCGGGCTGGCGAGGGGCGCCGCGGGCTCTCGGGGCTGCCCGGGCCGTTCGCGGCGGGCACTTGTCGGGTTCGGTTTGCCTTGCTTTTTGGCCAAAAGGGGGAGTTGTCCGTTGAAACTCGCTGTTTTCCTCCCGCTCGGGGACACCTGCTCGCAGGGTACCTGCCGCGGTGGGGGCGTGCGTTCGGGTCCCTCGCGGGCTCCGTGTTTCTGTTAGAAGCATTGACCGTAGCAGAGTGGTTGTTTTGGGGTAGGTTTCACGGTTGCTGTTGTACAAACAGGTGAAGCACTGGGAATGACTCGGGTGTGCTGTACACTCGAACCGTGTGGCTTCTGCTCTCAGTTACCTTCTCGGTCCTTTCACTCTCCAGCAGATAGAGCCCCTTGCCCTTATACCAATATCTCAGAGCGCTTGGCCTGCCAAGCTTGGGTGCCCTGTTGAGTGTACGTGCTTGAGTTTTGGATTGAGACCATTAAGTGGGCCCAAGTATGAGAGGTTTTACTTATTTCTCAGCTTTTACTAAATGTCCGTAAAACACATAATGCTCACTTGGTTGATACTGTCCCCTGGGCAGCGGGAAAAAAGGTGCATTTTTGCAGAATTACGTCCATTTGCAAAGTTGGTTTGCATAAAGGAGGAAAGGTTTTCTGTTGGTGAAGCTGATGATTAGCACTCATGTTTCTCTCCCTCCTTGCCTAGATCGAGCGATTGGAAGTCAGCAGCTTGGCGCAGACCTCCAGTGCCGTGGCCTCCAGCACTGATGGCAGCATCAACACGGACTCTGTTGATGGGACCCCAGATCCACAGAGGACAAAAGTGGCCATCACGCACTTGCAGCAGAAGATACTGAAGCTGACTGAGCAGATCAAAATTGAGCAAACAGCCCGTGATGATAACGTGGCGGAGTACCTGAAATTGGCCAACAATGCAGACAAGCAGCAGAGCGCCCGCATTAAGCAAGTGTTTGAGAAGAAAAATCAAAAGTCAGCCCAGACCATCTTGCAGCTGCAGAAGAAACTGGAACATTACCACCGAAAGCTGCGAGAGATTGAACAGAATGGGATTCCTCGGCAGCCAAAGGATGTCTTCAGGGATATGCATCAGGGTTTGAAAGATGTTGGAGCAAAAGTCACTGGCTTCAGTGAGGGAGTGGTAGACAGTGTAAAAGGTGGGCTTTCCAGTTTCTCCCAGGCCACACACTCGGCAGCAGGAGCTGTGGTTTCCAAACCCCGGGAGATTGCCTCCCTCATAAGAAACAAGTTTGGGAGTGCAGACAACATTGCTAATCTGAAAGACTCCTTAGAAGAAGGCCAGGACGATGGGACAGGAGGCAAGGCTCTAGGCATTATTCAGAACTTTCAGTCAAGCCCAAAATATGGTAGTGAAGAGGATTGCTCCAGTGCCACATCGGGCTCAGTGGGAGCCAACAGCACAACGGGGGGCCCTGTGGGAGCTTCCAGCTCCAAAACAAACACTCTGGATATGCAGAGCTCAGGGTTTGACGCAATATTGCATGAGATTCAAGAAATTCGAGAGACACAGGCAAGACTGGAAGAGTCATTTGAGGACCTTAAGGTTCGCTACCAGAGGGATTACACGTTGATAATGCAGACCCTGCAGGAGGAGCGGTACAGGTACGTGCTGTGGTACTTTGTTTCACAATTCAGTGTTGGGATCTCAGAGCACCAGAGTTGGGATGGTACTGCTCGGTAGGCTGTTTCCAACAGCCTGATTCAGGTGAGAAGCTCCGTGGTGTTCTCAGGATTTTTCCCTCCCGGTTTTGTCTTTTGTAGATGTTGCTATCTTACTGCTCATCTCTCTTTCTTTACAAGAAAGAAATAGCAAGGAAAAAGGTTATTTCACATTGTTTTCAAGATAAAAAGTCAAGCCAAAGAGTTTTAATAAGGTGTCCCAAAATCAGGATTGATGCAGTTACTGTTAGTAACTGTAGTGTGCTTGTTGTGGAGGTTATGGGGCTCTGGAAGTGGGTATCCTGTGCTTCCATTGTCCTTCCCCTCACTGAAAGTGATGGAGAGGTGGGGCAGTTGCTGCACTACTGCTGGTCCCTGATGAAGTCAAAGGGGAGAGGGGACAGTGGCTTTCAGGGAGACAGCCTGGCAGTGTGGCATGGCAGCCAGTGCCTCCCACCACCCTGAGGCTGCCCCCACCTCCCCACCAAGGAAAGCTACCCATGGAGGGGTGCTGAGGGAATGCTTCCCCTTCCTAGATGGGTGGAAGAGGCTCTCAGCAGGCTGCCTTATGCTGTCTGGCAGAAATTTGGTGTCCTCCCCATCACACACTGGGAGCAAGAGCTTGTCCCCAGGCTTCAAAGGAAAGAGTTACCAGCTACCCTTCTTCAGGCATGCAAGACACTGCAGTCTAAGTCAACAGGATTCTTAAACTTTAAATAACAAATGCAAGGCCAAAGCCCTCATTCTGGTGGAGGACAGCAGGCAGCTGTCAGGAAGTTCCTTGTGGTCTTCATGGCTTCGCCAGGCTATGGAGCACGACCTGCAAGGCACAGCAGAGCTGCTGCGGGTGCGTGGGGACAGGCTTGCTGAAGTGCCCCATGCCAGTTGCTGAGTTGGTTTATGCAGCTTAACATGGAGTTGCCGTACAGCTCTTTAGACATGCTGGTGCCAAATCATTGGAAAAACATTGGAAAAGGCTTAGCCTGCTAGGATCTGGTAGAGGCAGCAAGCTTTCTGTGTGCTTTGCAGAGCTTGGGCAAACAAAGCCAGACCAACACCACTTTCTAATCCTGCTTTGCAACAGTCAGTGGTTTGACTGAAACCAGCACCCAGCACAGCAACTTTGGTTCCTAGTGACTCATTGTCATCAAGTCACATCCCGAAGTGGCGTGGAGCTGGATCTTCTGCTCCCCAGCAGAGGTGTTGTTGTCTGTTACTGTGTAGGTTGTTGTTTCACACATACAGCAGCAGCCATTCATGGTGGAATGTTATATGCAAGCACAGCACAACTGAAGGATCGGCCTGAAAGTACAATGGCAGACCTTAGGGACTGATGCATGTTGTCAGCTAAACTGGCTGGTTACTGTCCGACACCTCTGAGCAAGGTTCATGTAGGTCCCGTACTAGTGCACTGTGAAGTCATACCTGTCATGTGCCATTAACCTTTACAGAGCACTCCCCTGAGGTGAGCCCAGAGCCCAACCACTAACCAAGGCAGCCTGGAGTGAAAAGCTTCTGGAAGAATCTGCACTTGGCTTATAAAAGTTTAAAAATACAGTAGTTTAGACCTGCTATTTGGACTGTTTATGCAAATAGATTAAAGGTGTGACCTTTAAGGAGGATCAGTTCAACTACTCTCAGTGCCCTTGTCTCTGGAGGTAACTGCACGATCAGTGAGAGCTAATGGGCTAATCACAGTGAGGTGACTACCTGACCATACAAATCTACATTCTTGTTTGATAGCTTGTGTATTTTGAACTGTCATGATGATAAAAGCTAACGTCAAGCTAGAACTGGAAGGTGATGTGATGTGTCCAAGGGCAGAGGTTGCTGCTGCCTTGGCAGGGAGGTGTGGCACCTGTTCCTCCAACTGGAACCTCTCTCTTCAGAAAAAAATTAAAAGATGGGAAAGGAGATTGTGGTTTGGTGCTGGGAGGCTGGGGATTCAAATTAATCATAACTGGTTTTAAAAGCTATAAATACCTCCTAAGTCTGCTCTGTTTCTGGGAGGCTTTCAAAAACAAACACAGAGTTGAGTTAGAGCTTAAAAAAAAAGAGGTTTTTGGAGAAGCTATTTGGAGAAGCTTTTCAGGTGACAGTGTTTGCATTGTACCTGGAAGCTGGAACAACGCATGCACCGTGACATTTTCTCACCTGGTTTTTGTCCATTTCCTCTTTCTTAGATGTTCTACTGTTTTGCACGTTCTGATTTTTTTTTTCCCTGTGTGTTTGTGCAGTTTCTGTTTATCAGTCGTGGCTTGCCTTGTGGGTTTTCCATTACCTTCTCCATCTCCTTCCTCCCTTTCCCTGCTTCCAGATCTTGCCCGTAACTCCACAAAGCTGCTGGTTTGCTAACTATCTCTGAGGCAGTAACTCACTGGAGCAGTTGCTCCAGTTCTCCTGCCCTGGTGTTGCTGGGTGTCAGGGCCAGCCTGGCCTGGCCTGGTGGCATCAAGGTGAGGCCAGGGTGGGCTGCACTGCCCCATGCGTGCCAGCCCTGGAGCACCACTCTGCTCCGCTGGGGCTGAGCCACTGAGGAAGGAAGAGTCTGACGGCACCTTGGCCATCGTGTTCTCCTGCACCAGGAGCAGGCGCTGAACTGGCCTATTGCTTATCTCATTGTCGGAAGGTGGCAGTTGTTTACTGATATGAACAGGGACTTTCTGTGCTATTGAGACTAAAATAAAGTTCCTGCTGAGTATTTTCATCTTGTGTGTCCCTTTAGGAACCTGTTTGTACACAGTGAAATCATGAGCTCATGTATTTGGAGTGTGGCCAGTTTGAGGGTTTGGGTTTCTTCCCAAGCCTGACATCCTAGAAAAGGGCATTTAGGTCTCCCACCCTCCTGTCAGGAGAAATCTGTCAGCCAAAATGGTAGTTGCTGGTGCTTCCATTTCTCTGAGTTTTGATGTAGTCTAATTGTTGGACTTCAGTTTGTCCTCGTGGCGTGTTTTAATATAGATCAAAGGAACTAAATCTCGGAGGTCTGGGAGGGTTGACGAGGCTCTTCTGGAGTGTGGATGGGCAGTGAAGGCAGCGCATCGGTCCAGGTGGGTGCTCGCCCAGCCAGGACAGCACTGAAATGTCCCTGCAAAGCTGTCCTCTTCCCAGGGAGGCTCAGACCTGGTATGTGGGCACTGAGAGCAGCTTTGGAGCAAACTCTGTCCCTTGCGTATCCTCTAGGTAGAAGACTTGGAGTATATTACAAATAGGTACTGCTTTTAGCTATTTACTCCACTATTGGAAGCAGTGTGTTCAGTAGCATAAAGATGTATATCGTGACAAATAAAGATCACATGGAAGTTTGTATGATGTAGCTATAAAAAATAAGTCCATCTTGAGAGACATCTGAAGAGAGGTGTTAAACTCTGTTCACAGTGTACTGCAGAGGTCTTTAGCATCAGTTTGGTCAGAGTTTCTTTAGTCAACAAGCACTATGTGCAGATAAAATGTCCTTTTCATCACGTCCCTCTCCCTTCCACGGGCTTCCATGTGTGTATTAACTTTGTATTTTGGAGCTATTACTTTAAAATGCCTTTAAAGCTTTTTAAAAAATGAGATGGTCATAACTGTGTTTCTGAGCCTTTTTCAGACCAGTTCCCCAGTTTCCACGCAGTGAGCCTCAGAAAATGTGTGGAAATCCAGTGTGACTGTTTGAAATGAAGTGTTCCCATATCCCACACTTGAGCCCCAGCAGTGTACTGTGTCCATAGAAACAGCTCTGGTGATCTCTGTGATAATTGTGACAGGTGACATTGGTCTGTTGCACAGAAATATTTCTGTGACGGTGCTTGTTCATCTAGAGGCTGGTAATTTTAAGAAGGAGTTTCACTCCAAAGAGGAGTTTTCCATATCTGAAATAAAGTGATATACTCACAGACAAGTTTAGTCTGTTCAGTGTCACGAGTTCAACACTGGCACTCGTGTTAGAGGGATGCCTATCGTCTTAAACCCCTTGACTTGACTGGTGTCCTATCCCTTTTATTTCTGTAATAGTCCCAGTTAGATGTGAACCCACTTTCAACAGGGAAACCCTGGCTTTGGGCCCATGAACGTCACATGAACGTCTCCTTGCTTTTCAAATTTGAACACTAATAGAAAGCAACAGGAAAAAAATAATTTTCTAAATTGTAGGTAATAGGACAAGGATTGAAAAGCAGCTGAATGGAGGCCGTGTCATTTCAAAAATAAGTCATGGTAGGTTAGTGGGGGCAGGGGTGTGGGTTTTTTTAAATAACCCAGTTCAAGCAGTTGCCTGACACAGTGGGTTCTAGAAGCACAGGTGATTCTTGGGTGCAAATGGCAGCAGTTCTGGGATTGAGCAGGGTGTGGATCATGAATGAGCTGGTTGTCCGGCATTCAGGGCAGGAGAATCGAAACCAACCCTTCTGCTAATCCTGTTCTGCTTAAACTCTTAACTGTACAGATTTGCAGGGTTTCCTTATGTTTCCTGTAGATTGAGGTACTTTTGAAGTTATTAAAATACAGTTGTTTCTTGTTAGAGAACAGGATTTAAGCTGCCTGGCAACAGCCACTTTATGAAGGGTGTTTGTGCGAGAGGAGGTTAAAAGACACAATCATGCTATTTTCAGAAATGCGTCTCTTTTTGTGTAATAAACCCACTGGAGAATTTTGTAATATGTTAACAGACTGGATGTATTTCAAGTAATTGATGCTTCCTTTGAGACTTAGAGTGGGTTCAGTTATGATTTCTTGGTTGTTGACAAGTTGTTTTTGTTGTGTGGGAACAAATGGCAATATTAATTATCTGGGCTCCTTCTTTATTAATCAGTCTTCACACGGCCATGCCCTTCTGAGTCTGGGGAAACCAGTTCTCTGGTGTGTCTCAGCAAGGTTGCACAGCTCTTGTGGCACCTTGCTGGGCTGAGCCATATTGGCTGGTGGTTGTCTTGGTCTCACTACTGGTTGACCACGTTTTGCTGCTGCAAATTGTCATGCTGTGTCTGACTCCTCCTTAGTTTAAAGCAATATTGCATTGGGAACAGAAATGAAAATTCTCTTCAGACTTGTACATTAAGAACAAAACCCCAAGACTTTTTAAAGGCTAGCTTTTGACTACAGATTCTGAACAACTAGCTTGTGAAGCACCAAAAAAAACTTGGGGGGAAAAAAATCCTAAAAAACAGAAGCAGGATTTGTGTTTTTGTTCCAAAATTTGCAATTAAATTCTTCATTCTAGATAAATATTGTTTATTCATCTTATGTGTGTGTGTGTATGAATTAAATTCAGGCAGAGTCAGAAGGAAAAATTTAAACAAGGAATTATCCTTGTGGTTAATTCCTTAGAAGTTTCTTGGTTATTAGAATCGAGGTTCGGATGGTAAGAGCTGTGTGGTAAGCTTTTGCTGTCTGTTATAAGGAGTGGACAGTGTAAATCAGAGTGGAAAACACCTAGAGTGGAAAATGGCTACTATAGCTGTGCCCACGCCTTTGTTACCATCAGAGCTATCATGTAAGTAAATATAAAACTCCCTCGATGAGAACTGTATCTCTCAGATTTGTTGTAACTCGGGTTTTTTTGGGCAGCCCTCTTCCTCAGGACTGCTCTTGGTGCATTCACCAAGACCAAACTTAAAAATAAGCCTGCAGGTTAGTGATTCATGTGTCCTTCTTATAAATAATACAATGGTATTTGCTTGTAAAGTTGCATCATTCATGGGAGATAAAGAAAAAAACAAGTCAAAGATCCCTGTGACCTCATGCAGAGATCAGACAGTAACATCATATTCTCTGAGTCACATGTCATTTCTGTGTCATTTTTATGCCCATTACTGTTCTGAGTGTAGATGAAAATGCTTAAGAGCTTATGGTATTAGAAGGGAACTGTTTGGTTTACACAGAAGTTTGGGGAATACATTAGTTTATTTTAATTCTGTCCTTGATTTCTTGCATCACTTGACAGTTGTCACGTAATTGTGTGGTTTATTCCAGGATAGGAGCAGGATCACAGAGTTTACCTGGTAGAAAGGACTAATTCCCAGAGATGGGCCATGGTGACAGTGTGTGCTATGTGCTGACTGAGGCAGCCCCGCTGGTTTCAGTGCACGGGCTGTGGTCTTTGTTCCTTGGTGGTCACTGGTGTCATTTTGCCATCCTCTTCTCATTAAAGCCACTGCACCATGTGTTGTCATTTCTAGATGTGAAAGACTTGAAGAGCAGTTAAATGACCTGACTGAGCTCCACCAGAATGAGATCCTCAATTTGAAACAGGAGCTGGCCAGCATGGAGGAAAAGATTGCCTATCAGTCTTACGAGCGAGCCCGGGACATCCAGGTGGGTGACAGAAGCAAGGATCCAAATCCTGCCCTCTGCCTGCTCTTTCAGGAACTTACTTTTGAAATAGTCCTGCACTTCAGTATTTGATTTTAATCCTTGTAGCTTTATTGCTAAACTGTATATTGCCACATTCCGAAAGGGCCTTATTCCATCTGTGACCCTTGGGTATCTATCCAGGTAACCTCTATAAAGCAGGGCCTGCGCAGAGGGAGCCGCTGCTCAGCCAGAGTGGAGTTTGTGAATCAGTTGTAGCAAAGCAGGAGCCAGCACCCACTCTTTGTGCAAGGCCTTTGTAGGGTGTTAGACATTCACGAGCCGTGACCCAAACATGTTTTTTTACAGTAGCATTCCCAGTATATGGGCCCTGGGGTGTGGTTCTGTGTCATTAGTTTTACAGCAATGATCACATACGTCTAAGGAAAAATGGCTTTATGTATGCACTGCACTGAGTCAGGAAACAATTCTTTCTGTTGGCTTTGCCCAAATAAAAGGAAGTGTTTTTTTAAAGAGAAGTTTCAGTATGTAAAAAAAAGGTATGAGACAGAGATCATGAAGTTGGAGGCCTTTCTACAAAGCAAAGCAGCTGCTGACCCTTGTGGAGAAAGGCCTATTCAGGAACAAGTGTCTTGTCCATTTTAAGTAATTGCTTTGCTAGTTTTAGCAGACATCTCAGTTCTGATCACTGACACAAGATATTTCTAGTGTGAGCAGAGAATTGTAGGTCAAAATTCTCCCTCTTTTCATCTCTGGAGGTGGTTCAACCAGGTGATTTACTCTGGAGACCAAGCAGGCTGTGCTCTTGGCACGCCTGTGGATCCAGCTGCAAGTCCCGTTGAGTCAAAAGTCCTTCCCAGTTGTTGCTGTTCAGGCAGCTGAGCAGTTCTGCCCTGTGCTTTCAGGGGCCATAACCTAAGAAAAGCCCGCATGTTTCATCGACCCCCACAACCGTGATGCAATGAGAAATGTAGCAGTTGACAGTGACTGTTAAATTAAAGTTAAAATAAATTGGTGTCTGTGGACAGTGGTGCCATGGCCTCCAGCCATGGAAACAGGAGGCTCTCCCTTGGGGGTGTGTTATAAGGGTCAGGTTTTGTTCTCCTGTCTAAATTCAGACAGCAGAAAGAAGTAAGGGTGAAAACTTAAATTGTTAAGTGGGGATTTCTCCATAGCTTTTTTTAATTATTTTATGATTCAGTGCTTTTAGTGAAAACTTGCAATTTGGGACAGCCTATTCCTCAGCCTTGCTGGGGAAAAGATAAGTGTTAAGTTTTATTACATGAAAAACTATATAAGACCATGGGCTGATGTTGCAGAGGAACAGTCCTGGTTCCTTTTTCAATGGTCAGTCTGGGAGAAGCTGCTGCTTTGCTGCAGACTTGCAGATGGTACTTGCAAGTCAGCCTGAGAAACCTAACTGAGGATTAGTGGAAAAATTGTAACTTTGTATCTTCAAAAGCGGAAGTATCTCCTTGTGTTAATTGCCATAAAACCTCTTTCCTTCTTCCTAGACCACTGTGTTGCATATGGTCAGTGTTTTAGTGCAGGTTGGGTTGGTCCAGTTGAGGTTTGGCCCAGTGAAAAGTTCTGACAAAATCCCCCCAAATCACCAGGGCTTTGGAGAGCTGGTTTTCTGCAGGTTAGTCTTCTCCCTCCATGTCCTGTTGCTTTACTTCTTCCTGGAGGCAGTTCCATAAATCTCATGCTTCCTACCCTTCTCCTAGACATCTTTCCCCAGCCCTCCCAGTGTCACCTGGAGTTGTGCCAGTGCCACAGCTTGCTGCAGTCTGGAAGAGATCTTCCTCCTGCGGTGGCAGCTGTGCAGTCCCAGCCCTGGTGCTCCTCAGACCTTTCCCTGAGCTCACAAGCTCACTAAGCAAGCAGAACACAGCTGAGCCTTTGGGTAGTTATTTTTGTTGACTTAGTTTTCTTCCAGATTGACTAGTTTTCTGCAGAGGGGCCAGATAAGCACAAGCCATTGAAGTAGGAGGTTTTTGGAATACACATCCTAGAAGAGGACAAAGATTTCTGGCTAGGTACAGCACCTTTGTCCTCTCAGTGACCTCTTGGAACCAAAGCTGAAGTAACCAGCTGGCAGGATAGCCCCCCCATTCTGGACAGAGGCTGTGGGATTGCTGAGGGCTGCCATACCCACCTCCCTCTGGTCTGACAGTGAGAGAGGAAGGATGTGGTGGGTCTGGGTGGCCATAGCACCATGTGCAGGGTCTGGCAGCTGACGGTGCAAGGTGGCATTGAAGGGTGTGTTCTAACAAAGCCCAACTTCTACCCAACCTGGCACCTCTCTGTTGAGCCTCTTGGGTGCAGATGAGGTGCCACCGTGTGTTACAGACTGCAGCGCTCAGTTAGTGAGGGGCTTTTCACCCTTAGGCATGGGAAATGGCACCGCTATGTCTGCTCAGGTCAGGAGCTGTGTAAGTTGTGGGAATGCTGACCCTGGCCTGGCCCAGTCTGTGCGGTGACACCTGTGGAATGTGTGTAACCCAGTGTGTGTTCTTGCCCACAGGAGGCGCTGGAAGCGTGCCAGACACGCATCTCCAAGATGGAACTGCAGCAGCAGCAGCAGCAAGTGGTGCAGTTGGAGGGGCTGGAGAATGCCACAGCCAGGAACCTGCTGGGGAAGTTCATCAACATCCTGCTGGCTGTCATGGCTGTCCTTCTCGTCTTCGTCTCCACTGTGGCCAACTGTGTCGTGCCCCTCATGAAGACTCGCAATAGGACGTTCAGCACTTTATTTATAGTGGTTTTCATTGCCTTTTTGTGGAAGCACTGGGACGCCATCACCGGCTACTTGGAACGGTTCTTGTCTCCCCCCAGATGATGGTGGCAGGAATGGGCTATGTTGCTCCCTCCCGGCGCTCTTGGTGAGCAAGTGTGGCAAAGATTAGTCAGCAACTACTCTGCTGAAGTTTTAAAGTGTCCGAGTGAATTTGTTTACATTTAAAATAACATTTTTTCTCTGCAAGATGCATTGCAATAGTATTTTTTAGATTTTATTCAAGAACTCTTTTGGCGAGAATCCTGGATAATTTTTATGTAGCATGGTTCTCTTTGGATGCAAATCTTAAGATTCTTTAAAATGTACAAAAGAAATTAATAAAATACAGAAATTTGGAGCATACCAACGGGCAATTTAAATTGTGGCTTGAACTACTGTACTAAACCTGTCAGGAAGAAGAGAACGTGGTTAGCTTAAGATGATCAAAGCTCAGTCTAGTGCACAGCCTTGAATGATGGTACCACAGCAAACCTGTAACACTAAACTTTTACTGTGAAGTCTGATCACATTCCATGTCCAAATGTATGCGTTCAGAGTGGTTTCTTTCCTTAACAAGAGAAAAACGGCGTGGATCTCTCTCAGCTCAGCATCTGGGTTCACCGTTTGTGCTAACCTGACTTCAGTAACTTTCTGTAAGGCTGGCTAACTTGGCTGAGTGTATGGAGTGGAAGCCTCATGCCATACACAATAACTGCACAGTCGTGCTACAGTATTTTGAAGTAGTCCTTGAAATACTTATCTTTAAGCAGAAGCCCTTGGTCGCACTTTTAAGGTTTTTTTTAATATATGTATATTCACAGATTTAAAAAAAATCCAAACAGCATACTTGAAGAGTGTAATACTCAAACTCTCAGTGCTTCCTTATTGTTTCTAATAGGATTTTTTATTATTATTATTATTATTATAATTATTATTATTATTGGGGGTTTTTTTGGAAGGGATTGGGAGGGTCATTACTTTTTTTTTTTCTTTCAAATAAAGAAGTGGTGTTTGTAAATGAAGAAATGTGTGAATAATTGTGAGGTGTCTTATCCTGACGCAGTTTTGAGGAGGGCGGAGAGTAGTTTCTAGTGCCAGGCTGTCGAACACGGTGCTGTTCACATGCTATTTGTCTGTCCTCCTGAGCATACAGATGCAGCATCATCAAAAACCATCTGTCTTCTCCACACCTTTTTGTCATGCAAGGCTTTTTTCCTTTTCCAGATGTGAAGGATAGTATGTTTATATTTTTTGTTTGCATGTCATCTCTCATTCCTGCCTCAGGGTAAGAAGAAGGAATTTCTGTTCATCCCTTCCTTAGGGAAAAGACAGGTTCTTTTAAGGAAAGAAATAATGACTCAACAGTCCACTTAAAAGAATGGTTGTCTCAGAAGTAGCTCTAATTTTTAAAGAAACCCCAGAAAAGTGAAACCAAAGTTTTCCTCCTGTAAGGCTCTGGTAAGATCATTTGTGTGTCTGTGTCTGTGGTGTGCCAAGAGAGCATCCTCTTTTTTCAGCCACAGGAGCCAGCACTTGGTGCAGACACCTTTGCAAAGCTCTAAAGGAAATGTCAGCCTCAAATGTAACCCCAAGCCTTCTCAGCATGTCATTGCTGGTGACCTGTTGGTACAGGCAGGCAGCCCTCATGTCCAAGGAATCTGTGTTCACTCTGTGCTGGTTTTTAACTGCTGTCCCTTTCACCATAACAATGCCAAGATTCATCTTCTGTCTTCATGAAATCCCAAAAGACTCCATGATTCTCTTTCAAAACCATTTATGGTGTTTAGTTAGGTCTTACTATTTTTCTTCCTTCCAGGATCAGGTTCCCTCTAGGAACCAGATGTTGCCCACATGACCTAAACCAGTTGAAATCATACCTTTACATTTATGAGACATTACATCACGTACATATATATAGACACATACTGTACAGACATTGTGCTGTGATGCAGATTCTGAGAAATTCCCTCAAACAAGTTTAACAGTCTTGAGGGTTTTCTGATTGCCAGTGGAGGCAAACTGTCCACCGTCCAACCATCTTGCTTCCTCCAAAGGTTTTTTCTGTAGTCAGAGGAAATTCAGGTGCCCCCTCTCCAGGGATCCCAGCACACCTCTCTGTCACCATGTGCACTAGTCTGCTCCTGTCCTACTTAAAATACAAATTGCCAATTGCAGCTGACTCAGGCCAATGCTGCTTCTGCTTTCTGCAGTGCCACAGCCAGAGCAAAGGTGCATGGCCATTCCTCCCCTTGGCCCTGCTCCTTGCTCCAGTGGGGCTCTGGTCTGTTGCCACCCTTCTCTGATGACTCATGTTTCTTGGGTAACTATTGGCTTCCTATTACACAGTTTTGTCAGAAACAAATGTGTCAATAGCAGTAAGAACTGATTTGGGACATAAGTGAAATGCTTTGTTGCCTTTATTTCTGGAACCTGGCCTTTTTACCTCTGTTTTTTTCAGTTTTGATCACAGTAGAATTACGTATGGGAGGTTTTTATGTGGTCAGAGCAGGAAGGAGTTAAAAGCCAATCTGGACACACAGTGCCCCTCATCTGTAGTATTTAGGAAGTCTTTGTCCCTCTTCTTTATATTCTGATTTCATGTAGCGTCTCAACTCTGTCATATTCAATAATTACTATTTGCTAATTTGCTAGAAGGTGCAGGCTTAATAGAAACTTACACCTCAGAACTGTTTGGTGGAGGCCCCGTGTATATGAGTCTGGACAAAGTGTCTGTCTCCTCTCTCGACAGTTTCTTCCATTCCAGAAAATTGTCTGCAGTAATGCCATGTATGATGCTGCATCCACTTTTCATATCCTAACACAATTGCCATGTGTTTTGCCTTTTGAATTAGCAGAACATTTTGGGGTTTTTCTCCCTCTTCAGTTTGAAGGTCTGTGATGATTTCTGATAGCTTAACAATAATGATATTGTTGGAAATGTGATTCTAGCTTTAAAGCTCCCTTTCCTTGTACGTGGTTGTGTTTGCTTTCCTGATGGAGTGTTTCTGGATGACACACAGAGGACAGTTTCAGCTGCGGATGTGAGTGCATGTGTGCGTACCTTTAACAACCTTCTTTGTAGATACAAATGTTTTAGTGACCATCTCAAGAGCTGCAGAATGTTTCCCAAAACATTTCTTATTCAGAGTTGAAAAGACACAGAAATTGCTTAGATGTGTTTGTAGCACATTATCACCTTGGCACGTAAAAAAGGAAAAAATATAATGGACTGCGTAAGTTTCAAAAGCAGCAGCTCCTCACTGACATTTGAGAGTTCAAATGAATTTCATCTGTTTCCCCTGTTTCCTTCAATTCAAAGAAAGAATATCTTGATGCAAAAAAAATTACCATTTAAAATTTCATAAAGTTCTTTTCTTCTTTTATTAGTTTAGTTTAATGATACCCAACATGCTCCCAGCAGTTACTCCATTGATTTATTCCAATCCCTTGTGCGCATAGGTCTGATCAAATGAACTGCTGACTTGTGTACGTGTTACACTGGGACAGGAAAGCACTGTCTGACAGCTTTGAAAATATGCATTTTTTATTTAAAAAAAAAAAAAGGCATTTTAACAAAAGAAGCCAGGCTACAAAGGGTTCGAGATTGAGTAGTTTTGCCAGTTTTTAAGTGAATTCTGAATGTGGCTAAGGAGTTGCAAACCCTGTGTGTCTGTGTTGTGTATGCCAGGTGGTATAGTTGTAGGCAATTGATTTAGCTGTAAGTGTGTTTTAAAAGTGTAAAGAAAATAAACGGAAAAACTCACTTGCACGGGTTGAAAAGTACAGAAATGACACTTGTGAACGTAACACTGTAGTTTATAGATCTTAAGCTGCTAATTGTTGAGAGAGATTTACATTTGTCTTGTCTGATTGTCACAGATTTATCTGTGACACTTTTACTGTATATAAAAACTTTAAATAAAGACCTCAGCTATTAACACTGGCCTACTTTGGATGTTTCCAAAGGGACAGGGCGGGGATTGTTCAAACTGTGCTGAGCCCTAAGAGCTCAAAATGTGAGCAAGTTCTTCATCCTACAGTCAGCCATGCACCACCTGGGCACAGCAAGAATAAAGTGGCAGCAGTGTCTGATCTTTGTGGGTGGAGGAGGAGGAGGAGCAGCAGCACTGCATTCTTCCTCATCTGATCCCTTCCGGCCTCCCCCGAGCCTGGACAGCCTCTGGCAGGGTCCCTGCTGGCTCGAACATCACGGTGTGTCTGCCTCCCTCCCTGCCACCCTCTGCTTGCAGGGGGGTGTAATCAAGTGAGGTGACCTACCCATGAGGTGTCTGTCTTGGAAGGACCAGCAGTTGGTCCTGTATTTTCCCACATCTGGTCTGTGATCTACCCTGCCCCAGAGGAGAAGGACCCTTGCTTCTGTGGACTTTGTCCTTAAGGGGTTGCAGGGTCAGCTCTGTGTGTGCTGCATATGCAGAGCCAAGTGCAATTGTAGCCTCACCTGTGTGTCTCATGGGGAGCTTGTGATGGAGCAGTTCTGGGCCCTGGCTCAGCTTGGGCAAAGAAGGCTGCAACTGGCAGGACAGCACTGACCAGCAGAAAGCTGGCTCTCCCTGAGGAGAGGCAAGAGAGTGTATGCAGAATGTTGTTGAGCCACTGCTCTAAACAGAGGTATTTTGTCTACCATGTTTCATAGGAGAATTTCTGAATTCTCTAGTATTTGTACAAGCTGGAAGTGAGCAGATTCATCACTGATGTGCAGTTTTTTGGTCATGTGGCCTCAGGAACCGAGAAGGGAATGGAAACAACTTTTTAAGCAGGAAGGGACTGAGTCTTTCTGTTTTCACAGAGGTGCAAGCACTGTAAAACCAGCAAGAGGTCAAAAACCAAAAGCAGCTGTTTGCAGAGATTTTTTTCCCTATAATTACCCAGAACCAGAATGCACATTCCAGCAGTTTATAATGAAGCAAGTGCATGCGGCTGTTTTTGCTAGAGATGTCTGGCTCAGGATAGAATGTTGTTCTGGTTGTGAGGGTAAATGGTTCTGGGGTAAATTCTTTTGGGGCAGTCACTTGAGAGGTGCTGGCTGTGGCTCAGAACCAACAAGAGGGCATGATGACCAAGGGTGAAAGCAGTGGCCGCCTACTCCCATGTCAACAGATTTAATCCCGTAATTTAGAGGATTAGGAGTTGCTATTCAGTTTTTTGGTTAGTCTGTGGGAAGTAGTTTGATCTCTCCACCCAGGTCCTGTGGGACAAACAGGGATGTGGCAAGGGTAAGGCTATGCTGGGTTGCAGCTGTGGAGGTGAGGAATTGGCTGATGATTCTCACTGGAGCAGTCATTTTCCCTAGCCAAATCACACCTTGATGTGCTGATAGTGGGTATTTGGGCAAACAGACAGCTCCCTACCGCAAAATACCTGTCTTCAAGTTGTTCCTTAAACACCAAACCCACTTTCTCCTTTAAAAGTGGTGGTTCGTTGTTCATTGGCCTTAGTGGAGCCTCCCTCACTGCGTGGAATTCAGTAGAAATGGGAAGAAGGTTCTCTGCTGCCTGAGTTAGCAAGAAATAGAACATCCCTGGGCTAACCAGCTCTGCTGAGTGACTCACACCCTAGCCAGATCCTGTCAGAATTCAGGAATAAGAGTCACCACATATGCGTGCTCTGTACCAGCTTCGTGCCAACCCTGGCCCAAGGGGGCAAATAAGGAAGAGTGCCCGAGGAGAAAGGCTGGAGCAGGATGGGAAGCTGCAGCTTGTTTTCAGGCCTCCTCCCCAGTGCAGCTGAGCCTGTAGCCCTGCCTGTTCACAGCTGATACTCGCCTTGCCTTACAATCACGAGGTCTGAAGGCTTTCAAAATTTCTCCACTACACTCAAAAGCACTCTCGGAGTTACCTATCAGATCTCTGCTGTGACAGCTTTGAGGACACCCCTGGCTCCAGTTCATTGTTTGACAAACACCTTTATGCTTAACCCTAGCTGTTATCTGTAGGGAGTGGGAGCCCCAAGAGCCTGTCTGGCCAGCAGAGAAGCAGATGAGTGTGACACCCCGTTGCTCCATCTTGTCAGTCAGCTCCTCGATTCCACCCGGTTCAGGCACTGCTGCCACACCTGCACATCACTCACGTGCTTCCTCAGCCCCTGAATGTGAACATGAGCTGGGGCCAAGCCAACTCCCATTCCTCCTCGGCCCTGCTGAACATGTCACTGGAGAGGATGGTGCTGACACAAGAGCGGACTGAGGGGGAGGGAGCTGTGACCGGAAAGCATGGCTCATCCTCCTCTCGGGCACACCCTGAGAGCTAAGTGGGATGTTTCACAAATCAACATCCTGCTTACCTGGGCTAGGGATCCTGAGAAGAGAAGAGGGATCATATGAGGTGCAGGTCACATTTCACTCCTCAGCAGAAAACATCTTCAAGGAAACAACATCCCCCGACCCTCCTGATCCTTGTCTCACGTATGCTGAGGCAGTTACTATCCTCGGCACGGGTAGAATCGTCCAGTCCCACACCGCTCGGGAACTTGGAGTATGTTCCTCCAAAAATGTTTGTTTGAAAGATCTTTTGCTTATTTCAGATCAGCTCTGCTCCTGCCATGGGCACATCGGCATTTCTCTCCCTCTTTGGAAACAGACTGTCAGGTAGATGATCAGCTGGCCTTCCATCTGTCCCGTCCATTGCTTCCCAGCTGGGAAAGTGGGTGTTTCTGGGAGCGGCCGGGGTGACGCGAGCAACACGAGCCCACAGAGCCGGCCGGGAGGTACCTGGGCCGGCGGGTCCCGCAGTGCAGGCGGTGGCAGCTCCCGGCCTGCGGGTGTATACAAAGACTGTCCTTCTGAACTGGGGGAAGGAATCCCGCGTTCTCCACCGGAGCCGGGGAGGCCGGGAGGGAGGGAGGGAGGGAACGGGACCGCCTGCCCGGCATCGGGGCGCCCGTGCTGCGGAGGGGTGGGAATGGGCCCCGGGCCGGCTCCCCGGGCCCGTTCCGATGCCGGGGTTGGAGGAGCGGCCCCGGGGCTCTGACGGTCCCGTTTCCCGTGCCCCGAGCGGGTCCCGCCCGCGCCCTCAGGGACCCGCGGCCCCCCCCGGCTCTGGCGCCGCCTGGCGGGGCCACCCGGTACTGCACGCGCGCCGCCTGCGGGCTCTGGCGCCCCCTGGCGGTCGTGGCCGGGCAGCGCGGCCGGAGCCGCCCGGCCCCGGTGCCGGCAGAGCCCCCGGGCCCGGCGCTGCCTGCCCGCAGGGCCCACAGTGCGCCCCGGCACCCCCGCTCGGCGGGGCTGCGCCTGGCAGCGGCGGGGGGCTGTGCGGAGGCCGTAGGGACGGGCACCGGGAGCGGCTGTGGGCGCTGGCACAGCCCAGCCCACCCACCTGCGGGCACCGCCGGTGTGTTCCCAGCACTGCCCCGCTCCCTGCTCGCACAGTGCTGTTGCCTCCCTGAGCTGGGGAGCGGAAGGGGACGTGGAGACCACCTGGACCTGCTCGATCACATAAACACCCCGCCGAGGCTGCCCCGGGCTCCGGAGCATCCCGGGCTTACGAACATCCCGGTCATGGAAACGTGCCAGCCGCTCGGTCACCGGGCCACGAGCGGCCGCTGCAGCAGCACATCGAATTCGCCGCGCTGCTCACGTGCTGCAGGACCCCTCCTCCCCGTGATTTAGCATCACCTCAGCAGAAATTCAGTGGTTAGTACTGCTTGAATCCACTCCTGTATCCGATGTTGGCCTAGGCGAGGAAGAGCCTCTCCCCACTCAGGCTCAGCAGTCCCTCTCCCAATCCCACACACAGCATTCAGGGCACAGCTCTGCAATGCCTCATTGCCCCTGCTCTGGAGGGAAGCATTCCAAGGGATAATTGTTCATGGCATACACTTGATGGCTCTCAAACCAGCTGTCACATAAGGCTGAATGCTCTGCTTCTGTTGATAAGCATGGCTGGGTCTGTGATTACTGTGAAAATTAGTTATTTGTCTGATCCAGAGTTCTCTCCTCCTCTCAAAGTGGGGTTGGAGTCCGCAAAGATTTGGTGACAAGCTCCTCCCTGCTTCATCCACCCTAGGTAGCTCTGTTGAGCATCCAGGCCTGACATCCTACCACTGCCTCTCATGGTGCAGTGTGTTTGCTGGCAGTCCTGGCTCTACAGGCTTGGAGTCTCCTCTGGCTCCCAGACATCCTGCTGTCCTGTTTGCTGGCTTGTCCCAGCAGCAAAGCAGAACCATGCTGGCCAAGGCTCCCCAGGGACCAGCCTCAGCCCTGCTCTGGTGGGGTGGTCTCCCCAGCTGCAGAGTTCACACACAAAGAAGCCTTTTCTCAGATGCAGGGTAGCCTCCTAAGAGGAGAAGAAGGGGGGGAGATCATATGAGATTTGGAGGTTCTCTGAGGACAGAGAGTGTAGGAACAATGGCCACATTGATAAATTCCCAATTTCCTGACATGGGCCAGGGAAGGAGAGATCCCCACAGTGGCAACACTACAGAGTGATGGAGCGCTGGAGGTGGCAGCTGGGCCAGCTCAGCGGGGAGACAGCCCACAGGGGCACAGGCACAGCACAGTGCAGGAGGAGTTGGCAAGGACAAGCTGCCCCCCCTGGGGCCAGATAAACCCACAGAGGTAAAGCCTGAAGATGCTCTCTCCTGTTAGCAAAATGCCCATTGTCCTTGTGCCACATCACCTTCCCAAGAGCTGCCAAGAGCTGCACATTTTGCCAGGTGTTACCAATGTGGTTCATTTTTGGGGGCAAGGTGGGGCCCCAGCTGAAACTTGAGAGGCGCAGAGTGAGAGCTGTAGGGACAGGGCACAGCTCTGAGCTGGGAAATGCAGGGAGCTGACTGGGAAATGGCTTTTAACTGAGCTGCTAAAATCCTTCCCCCTCTCCCCATCAGCAAAAGGAAATCTGGGGCTTTGTTGTCCCAGATACTCATATTGCTTTGCTCCCACAGCTGAGGGAGCTGCCCATGGAACCCCACACAGGAATTCAGAGACTCAAAAAGCGAGTGAGCTGGGATGTCCCACCTGACCCCGAACAACTCAGGTCCTTCTGTGGGGAAAGCTCAGGCCCACACTGGGTTGCCCGGATATCAGAGACTTCAGCCCGATGCTGGGACTCGGCTCTGGGGGTGGTGGTCTGAGCCGGGGCGCGCTGCGGGAACAGGCAGCTCCTGCACAGGGCGGTGGCGGCGAAGCCGTTCCTGCCGCGGGAGTTCGCAGGGAGCCTGGAACCACCTACGGAGGGCGGCTGATACACAGGGGGTCTCGGCTTTTCCTCTCCGCAGGCTGATAAGCATCAAGGGGAGCAGCGAAGTCAGCCTTGCCTGGTATCCACCCCTGATACAAAATCACGAGCAAGGCACGGTTTGTAGGTCAAGATAATCGCCCTTGCTAGGCTTACCTAAACATGTTTTACACGGACGTACCAGTGAGAGGAGTGATAATGGCAGCGGAGTAGATAGATTGCTACTGTCTGGGTTACAAAGGGCTTCCTGGATACCCAGCGCTGGATTGCTGCGCTGCCAGTGCAGCGCTCTCCAGTTCCCACGGCCCGAGGCAGCATCAGCCGAGTGCCCGCACCGCGGGGACCGCCCGGATGCTGCCCCGGGGTGGTCGGAGCACAATCGTGCGGACGTCAAGCCCGAGCTCAGCGCAGCAGTGCCGAAGGACCCCTCACATGCCAGCCAGCTTCCCGGGAGGCTGTGGGTGGGTGAAGCCCCTCCTGGCTGGCTTGGCTCACGTCCCGCCTTGATTTTATTGCGGCTGTGGCACCTGGCAGAGCTGGCACACATTCTGCTGCCTTCTATTTTTAAGATTTCCCTTGGAGCATGTATATGGGGTAGCTGCTGTCCCTGCAGATCTCGTCAGGGTGATGGTGAGGCTCAGCTGGCGGTGGACTGCTGCCTCCCTCTGAGATGAAGATATTGAGAAGGGTCACCGGCCCACGGACAGCCAGGGCTAGCCGGGGACTGTGATGGTCCTCTTTGCTGCACCACCCAGACCAGAGGCTGCACACTGAGGTTTTCACTTGTTGAGGCATCTCCCCACACTGAGGCTATTGACAGGGTGGGACAAGGTCAGTCCAGGGTACTCCTGTGTAGCCAGGGAGCCAGCACCTGCTGAGGCCCCAGCGATGCATCGGCCACCAGCAGCTCTGGGACCCAGTGTGGGAGTGGGGACATAGCACTAGTGCCCCAAGTGCCTCCCCCCAGTGACACCAGCCAGAGCCACATCCAGGCTCCAGGTGCAGGCTGAGGACTGGGAAAGTCCTGATGGCTGGCCAGGGGGCCCTGCTGGCAGCAGCATTTGAGGTCCCACTCGACAAGCCCGTTTGCTCCCAGAGGTGTGAGGTCTGGTGCTGCGGCCCAGCAACCCATGGGTGTGGGCTTTGGGCAGGGAACAGGGGCGGCGTAGAGCAGGAACTGGCTGGTTTTTCTAGCCACACTTCCCATATCCGCCGCCTGTGGCCATCCCTGCAGTCTGAGACCAGATCGCGGTTTTTAAAGGTGCTGGTTGTGCTTCTCTGTTAGCCCACTCCAGCCCTGACTCACTTCCTTTCCCAGCGCTATGCCGTTGGGAATGCTGCAGGACATCCCTCTGTGCGCTCCCTTCCTGGAGGCTGATGGAGCAGGGACTGCTGTGCTGTGTGCTTCATCTCCTCCAGGATGAGCAGTGTCAGTGACTCGTCAGGTCACCGACACAGGTTGAGGTTCAGGATATGCCAGTGCTCCCCTAATCCCTGTTCCCCCCCTCTGCCTCCTGAGAAGGAACAAGCCAACACTAATCAGCAGTCAAGTTTGTTTTGTTTATTGTTTCAGCTCATGGGCTCTCACCCAGGTTTGATTTTTTTGTCTGGAGCATCTGGAACCCCTGAGAATTTCAGGCAGTGCAGGTAGTTTTCACAATATACAGATTGTGACAACAATCCATCCATGCCCTTTCAGAGGAGGGTCTGGGGAGAGCTGAAGTTTTTCACCAGGGAAGTTTCTAACACATGCTTGGAGCTCCTGCTTAAGAATGCCTAATTAATATTCAGGGACTCCTGCCAAGCAGCCTGGCAGGGCAGTCCTCCTCCAGCCAGGCACAGGGAAGTGAAATGACATCCATCAGGTCACCAATGCCTATGGTCTCTTTCAGAGGTAGGAGAGATGTTGGAGCCCCTGCCAGCCCCCGGTGCATCTCCTCAGTCCTGTGATGGGCAGACCACCATTTTGGTCAGGAAAAAAAATCACAAAGTCTGGTTGCTTTTCCACCTTGATTTACTATCAGCTTTGACAAGCTTTGTCTCTCAGCTCTCAGGATACTGCCAGCCGTATCTAATGCTGTTGATTTGATAATATATCTAATCTGACTTTCTTGAAAATGCCCGGTATCTCAGAGCTTCTGTTCTCCTACTTGAACCAGCTTCCTTCCTTGCCTTCTTTCTCTTTCCCAGCTGGGGCCAATCTGTCTGGGAAATTGTCCAATTTGCTTCCATCTGATGGGAGCGGATCCCAGCTCTGTTCCCTTCATCTACTCCAGAGTTGAAATCAGCTTAGGTCATTATTTTGAAATCCCTCATTTTCCTCCTCTGAATTTTTGCTGCTGCTTTCATCCCTCATTGCAGGCACCAGTGAAAACACCTCTACATACTTCTTCCTGTCGAGTCTTCCAGAGCAACCACCCTGCACTTGGCATGATACGGACGTTTGAGATCCAGACAAGGTGTTCCCCACATTTTAGACTTTCGTGTGGTCTAAAGAGGAGCACCAGTATCCTATGTTGGATACAACTTAAACTATCAGGGTTCAACCTTTCCAAAGGCATTCCCCAAGCGCTGGGGGCACCCTTGAGCCCGATGCATGGTCCTTTCTGCCCCTTGGCTTCTGCAGCTGCCAGCTGCTGTGTGTGAGAGCCAGGCCTCTGTTAGCAGTGTGTGGCTAAAGGACCTGTCTGCTTTTACTCCTGATTGTCTGCCCTGGATGGGCCCTGGACCTGTTGCATTGCTTGCCCTGCCTGAAGCTGTCGATGGGCCTTGTCACCAGCCCCTGTCACTGGCTGGTGAGGGCTCTGCCAGGGCGGGGGCCTCCCGTGCTGCTCCCCCGTGCTCAGTGTGAGAGCTGGTATTTGCTGGCATCCTCCCACCTGCCATGATGCCAACTAGGCACCTCTGAAAGGAGCACTGAGCTGCTTCTAACTTGATCATGATGACAGGAGAATCACAGCTGAATTGTCCAGTTTATGGATCCCCCAAGTTAATTAACTGTGATTGATAGGACACTGCCAGAATGAACCATACTGTAGACTTATCTGTGTAATCTCTGTCTGTGTGTTTAAAGACTGATAGGAGAGCCAAAAAAAAAAATCCAGACAAAAAGATAAGACTGAAGATGCATGGTGATGTCTTGAAAATTTAATTTTGCAGAGAAAATATCCCTTTTAAAACTACATTATTAACTGCTGTCAAGTGAGAGCCATTTGGCCTTCACTTGCTGTGAATGAATTCAGCCAACTTGTGTCAGACTGCTCTGAAAAGCAGTGTGTGCCACAACCCAGGTCCTTCCCTGGGCTCTGGGTGCATAAAATCTGCATGATTGCTCTGCAATGGGGCTTGTCAGCAGGGACTGCAGCTGGGTTATGAATCACTTTAATTTGTCATGTGAGCTGGTTTCACATCAACATCTCTGGAGGGAAAATGCTGGAAAACTGGGGGAGGGAGAAGAGGGAATGTCAGATGCAACCCCCCCTGCCCCGGTTCTTGATGGAAATGATTCTCCCTCTCTACCAGCTAATGACTAGTCCTAATTTAATAGAATGGAGTGAAGTGGCCAACATAAAATGTATGTGTTTTGTTTTCACATCTGAGTCTAACATGGCCACAAGTCATAGTCTGAAATGATTGGGGGTGTTATCAGTCACACAATCTGACATTTTGCCAAAAGGTCTCTTTTGTCTCTTCTCTGAAGTGTGAAAATAAGGGATGCTGTTTCTTGTGTTCTGAAAAGAAAAATGTGGGTTGCAGACCCTTAAGAAGCCACTAGAAGAAGGAAACCAAAGAAGGAAAGAAAAATCAAGACCTCTTCCTTCCGATAATCACACAAATACTGGACCTCTAGGGACACTTAATGGAAAACTTAGGAACACTTAGGAAGCACCTGAAAATATGTGAGGGAAGTTTCCCAGCCTGGCCATCATATTGTCTCCTGCATCCTTTACTGGGATAATCTTGAGAAAAATCAAAGATTCAGATCATAATTTGTGTGTGGGTTTTTAATTTATTTTGTATTTATTTATTCAGTTGCCATTAAGGACAATAAAAATTAAATTACCCACCCTTGACTGAGTTCCCCCGACACTTAGTTAAAGTACACAATTATGCAAAACAGGAAGACTCCCACTGCATGTTATCCTAAGCAGCAAAAGCATCAACCAAACATAAGCCCCTTCATGGAGACAAATTACTCACCCATCGAAGAATTACTCATTATGGGCAAGTAGACTTTTACAAGGTTGATTTTTAAGTGTGCAGATGAATGTTACAGCTGCTAAGAATTTATTAGTCAATGAATCTGTGCAAAGGAAAAGAAAAGGAGACAGATATTTGTTTTTCCTAAGTGGAAAGGGTCCCATACTCTGCTGCTGGAAAATAATGCCCTGGTCTCTTCCTTCCTCAAACCAGGAAGGTATTTGGTTCTTTTAGCTTTAAGCTCACAATAAGACCTCCTGAAAGTAAAGAATTATTTGTTTTCTTCAGCAGAGTTGCATCATTAGACATCTTGAGAGATGGCTGCTCCCTATGAGAGGGACAGTGAGTGCAAACTTACAGTCCAAATGGCTTTTTCCATCCCTTCCCCTCAGCAGATTGCCACTCCTCTTCGGGGTACACGCAGAGCCGGCAACTTGTGCAGCCACCGTGCAGCCTGGCCAGCTTGTGGCTTCAGGAGCACCTGCAACACTGGGGCTAACACTGCTGAAATCCGTCCCCTCCTGGTGCGAAGCAGCCAGCCCAACACTTCAGCTCTGCCTAACAAAATGCTAAGCTGGCCTTGCAACAAGCAGCTCCCCACAGCAGCCTGCTGTGATCCTGGTAAACAACGTATGTGAGGATGAGCTGGTGAAGCTGCCGTAAAGGCTCTTGATGCTTCCAAATTCTGGTTCCCACACCGTGCACAGACCTGCTGTTTGAGCGAGCAGAGCCCACCTGTTGGCAGCGTGAACAGGGCAGCTGAAATCCAGTGTCTGTGTGTATGATGCCTGCCAGCCCCGCAGTCCCCCTGGCTGGGTTCTGCAGCAGCACAGCATACCTGGGTGTGCCTGGCTGGGTACCCACTGTGTGGCTGGCAGGAAGTGCTCACCTGCCCGTGTCTGACGCCCTTACCATGTACCATACAGATGTACCACTGCCCAACGCTGTGCTGGGACCAACTTCCTCAGTGACTTGATATTTCCTACTCATTCTTCAGTTGCCTCTTCTGATGCTTCCCTCCTCCCTCACTCTGAAGGCTGTGTCTGTGGAGGAAGTCCACATGAAAAGGAAGAGCTGCCCCCTTAGGGAGGAAGTAGACTTTGGTTAATTTTTTCTTTTTTTGTCCAATTCTGGAACAAAAAACTCCAGCCAGGAGCTGGCCTGATTAGGTCTTCATGTGAAGCAGATGCAAAGTTTCATGTGACAAATAAAGTGACACAGGGAAACTGATATATTTTTACATGCTGTTGTTCCCCATCTT